CATATGTATAGGTAGGCATGTTATGCAATAAAACATATCACTTTTAGTTAGACATGTCACTATATGTACGAACGAGAGGACGTTACCGTGAGAGAGATTACAGAGTACGATGTGAAAAGTGGGGCTCCCAAGCAAATTAAGTGAATCCTTGGCGGGCGATCAGTCGAAAGGATACGGCCCCGCATGAGGTTAATTATTAGCGTCCAAACAAATATTACTGTTATTTGTTTAATAATAAAACTATTGCCCTTAGCGACACACCACCCTAAATTCATCACGGTTCCTTTTTAATTAATTAAATAAACCCTAACTTTCTCTAAAGCAGACTTGAATATACATGTATGTTATAATTAATTCACAAATCTTCTTTTTCCTTCCAAATATTCTGTAATGTAATAGGTATCCGCTTGCTAAATCGATGCGTATGTATCCGTTCGTATCTTGAGACATGCTGCATGTAAATATAGAAACGCGCATTTAGAGAGAAAAAGCGACAACCTTTCGCAGTTGCGTTTACGTATTTTATACATTTATGGAAAAAACAGGATTCGTATCGACTCATGCCCAAGCACTTTGTTAACCTCCACTGCCTTTGAATTGTAAATTTATTTTAATATTTTGGAAAAGGCGCTGCTTGATATGTTCGCGTTTATATATTGCCAAATGTCGTCGTTAAATTCGATAACGATCCCCGCAGGTTAAGGAACCACCTTTGTGGAAAGGCCAGTCCATTTTCGTCCCGCGCCCTTAATTTACTACTAAACATTATAACGTAGGTAGAAAGTGATTTTTTCAGTGGACAAGTACGTATAAGTACATGTCTAGATCTGACCCAGCAGAGTAGATACCTATTACTTTTGCGCTACTTCCCAAATCTCATAATTCAATTTTCAGTCAGAAAAGCCTAACGCACACACATACGTGCAGCTACGCGAGCCTTGACATCGATTTTACCACACAAACTCAAATACACAAGACGTGTTAATGCATTTTACATCAACGACCGTTTCATCGGATGACATAAAAAATAACACAGCAGCACCGCGTCCGCTACAAATCCTTCTTCGCGCATAATTTTACACGTGTTTTGAATTAAACTTATTTACTTAATGGATAACAACTTGTAATACCTTGGTCTTTACCTACGGTTTACATATTAGACGTAGTAGATAGGTACAACTTTTCTACAATTCCGTACATACAGACAGATACCTACCTGTTTAGGTATTATCCATTATATGTATGTACTTGTACATACATTGCAGTGGGCTCACCCATCAGTTAAGCAAAACAAACTATTTTCTATAATAAAAATAACAATTCTAATAAGTACCTAAAATTAGAAAACTTTCCATTATTCCTTGTTAGATGTACATTTTTTATAAGGTACCAACCCGCTGAGCAATGATAACACATACCTACGCGTACCTACCCAGGCATTGTTAAAAAAAAATGAATTAAAAAGGCTTAGCGAAAATAGAAAAAAAAGCCGCGTACGTACACTTGTAATGCATAAACCGTACGCAGACGACGCAAGTTGGGGTCTTAACCCTCCAATCTATCTCACCCCGCGTATATCATCAACAACCCCTGGGGACGCACGGCCGAAGCTAACTAACCGCGCCGGAAGTTCAGACATCGATCTTGTTCTTCTTACTTCCGCTAACTCATTGCTATAGGTTGTAGATATACGTATGTAGGAATACCGTTTGTTTTTTTTTATGAAAAGCTAAATAAATCTTGCGACTTATATTCTAATAAGTTTCTAATAAGCTATAGGTTCTGTACCGAAATCGAATTTCTTCTTAATATTTTCATACGTATGTAATCAGTGGGTGAGTTCGCGTCATAAAGATCTCGACGCTTTCTTTTATTGTTTGATGTTTTCGACACCGTTTTACCGGTACATTATCACTCTGTTTGGGCGTAGAAACGTGCGCGGTTCGCGTTAAAAGCGACATCGGCCCAGAGAAACGATCGCAAAGAACGTTTCGAAAATGAGGCGCGCGATTCGGTCAGGACGACACGGTCGTTATCGCAACGGTAGCGTCTTGATACTCGGTCACGTTAATGTAAAACTCCTGTCTTTAGTACGAAGGACCGCCACCAGATAGCCACCCGGGACGAGATGAGACCGCCGCAGGAATGTCGTCGGAAAAGGCCAATATTTATGTTTTTTCCTTCTACTTTAATTTACTTTTTATCACACGCACACATCAACCGGTTCAACAGTGAAAAAGAACACCAAGCATGAACCAGACCGTACCTGTAGGTATAGGTACGCATAATTAGTACGAAAGAAAGAAAAAGACGATGCTGACAAAAATAATTAGTCCAAAGCGATAAGCGAATGGTGGAGAGTTGAAAATAATAAATTTGCAGAAAGAGGTTAAGTGACAAGGACTACAACTAAAAGTCGAAAGAGCGAGTCTTATTATTAAGGCTCGTTGTAAAGGCACGCGTTTTCGTATACCTAAAAGACACCCGTTTAAATGTTTTTTTCTAAGTGATGGTGCAGTTGTGAGTAATTAGAAAGTAATATGTAATGTCTCCTTTTATTTACGTATTATTTATGTGTTAACCGTTTTAATATGAAAGACGTTTGGTTGCCGAAGGTCGCCTTTCCTATTTTTCCGGAACTCGACGAGTACCTCTATCACACGTTATTTCTTCGGCGGTTCTTTTGAATCTGATTGTTTACGAGCCAACTTTGACACCGTGCGGTGTGACTTTTAGCGATATGAAAATAATTCGTATGAAATAATTGTACGGCCGACACGTCGCGACCATTCGGACACAAATTGTGCATAATCTTCGCATTTGAATGCCAACTGCGCTGAACAGTGAACGCGGCCTCTTCTTTTCTGCCGGACAACCGACACCATCACACTAAAAAACCGCATAATAGTTAAACTTGTCTTTGCTGCCGTTGCAATACAAATACGTTTTCATTTTGTTTATACCACAATAAACTATGATAAATAAATAAGTGAAAGAAAAATGTAATAAATGACGGTAATATGAGATAATAATAATATGGCAGCACTAGGTTTCAAGATTTTTTAATTAACTAGATTCTGAAGATCATATTTGTATTTGTTTTCCTAATATTCTGCTAATATTTTATGAAATTTAGCCCATACGGGTAGGAGAACAAAAGTTATTAGACAGAGGGTGTACGGTTGCAAACTAAATTGAAACATGAAATGACACTTCACAATGACCATAATAACTTGCACGGAAAAAAATCATTTTACATCGGTTTAATTGCTGTTTTACACGGTATAACTTCTATTCCAAATACAGTTAAATTTGTTTAATATCATAATTGCGTGTTACAATTGGATTTTCACATATTTTTTTGACTTTCCCAAATCATTATAAGAAACATATGCTCTTGTTTAAAGAAGAAGTTCGCAATTTCTACCAAGTTCAAATTAACTTCATTCAACCAGCGCAATACATTGAACGTATATACAGTGTATAACACTTTAATTTGAACTTGCGCTCTTCTTCTTGCAAAAATGGCCCATCTGAGGAAATAATAATAAATAAAAGAACTCAATTTTAATACGCATTTACGATTGAATTTTTAAATAAAAATTACACGGGATTAAGGGACGTATTTTATATAAAATAAACAAATGATTAAAATTCCTTTTCTTTGTCTTTTGAAATTTTGTCGATGAAAGCTTTAAATCTGTTCGCGTGAAACGAGATAACTGGTGTATTATTATCGAGCTTTAAAGGGTTTCTAACGAATCTTATTAACAACGAATTTTATTTCCGGATTTCATGTAAAATATCTCTTGCCTACGTCGCCACGTTAAAACGTTATTTAAATTAACGTTTGTATACGAGTAACACACGCATACGGTAGAGTGCAATAAAAGTTTTTCCAAGACCTTAACACGGCCGTTAAATTCCGTAAAATTCTCGCGCGCCTGATTTATTCCCAATGATGGTTTTTTAACACATGACACGGCCTTTATTTTTCGTCATGTTCGGCCCATAATTTAACTCGACAATAAAACTTCCTACCGTTTCGTTTGCTTCATTATTTTTCTTTCAAAAATAACCATCAATTGTGAGTGAGTGAGTTGAGTAAGTAACGACCCACACCTATGTAGCGAGTAGTATAATTAAGGAAAAAAGCAACCCCCGGTGACATTTATTATAAAAGAAGCTCTCGAATTGATAATTGTAAAGTGCCCGATCTTAAATACGCATTATTATCCAAAAGAAAACGACCTAACTTTGTCAACAGAAATTTTTAATAAAAAGACTGTACGTACCTACATTAGATAAGTATAATGATAGGTATAGATAGATACGATACGATAGGTATGTATGTGGATTGAACAGAGAACACACCAAGTGAGGGAACGTTATAGGTGTTCCTTAACACGCACACACAAGGATTCGTGTTAATGCAAATAAATTACAATTTCCTTCGAATATATCTGGTTTCTAAATCAATCGGCCGTCATAACCTGTCCGAGTGCTAACTACAAATTTTAATTTCTCCTCTCATTAAGCAAACACAAAGGCAACCGGCGAGCCAAGCACAGCCACATTATTAATTAGGAACTTGGACTTTCGACGTTTACGTTTATTTACATTCGCGATTATTAACATTTACCGCACCTGATTTATGGAAGACGCTCCAACTAATGAATATTTATATTGATAATCGTTTTTTAACTGATGCGACTTGGACCGCTACGCTACGTTTCGCGTTAAATAATCGTTCGATTGAAAACATTATTTTCATGACGATGGCGTCTCAAATACATTTGCAGATACCTACATTAAATGTATGTAAACGATTGAAAAAGAAATCCGCTAATGACATGATTCGGCATGAAAATAATAAAAAAGAAAAATTCCCCAAAGGTGCTACACCTTTTCATATTAATTTTTGTACTTTGCTATTTACATATTATTATGCTTTTTATAATAAAACTGCTCTTCTAATAATGACGTCGTCTTTCTTTCAGACGATCCTTAATTCCATGCACAAGTACCAACCCAGGTTTCATTTAGTTCGAGCGAACGACATCCTCAAACTGCCCTATTCGACATTTAGGACGTACGTTTTCAAAGAAACCGAATTTATCGCTGTAACCGCTTACCAAAATGAAAAGGTAGGTAAGACAGACATCCGCATACTTAACTGTACACGCATAGGTTTAGAAACAACTACATTCGAATGATATGTACATAAAGCAAAATCTTCTTTTCAGATTACGCAATTAAAAATCGACAATAATCCCTTTGCCAAGGGTTTCAGAGACACGGGCGCCGGTAAAAGGGAGAAAAAGTAAGTAGATGACATTTGCGTATTATTAAAAATAAAAACGTCTTAATTTAACTTATAGGTATATATGTACAACATATTATACATAAGCGCGCTTCTAATTAAGTAAGAAAGTTTAAACTTGCTCCCTTTTGTGACCTGCCCAAATTTCAAATGCAAATTAAAATCTGTTAACGAACGCCCTTTCCACTACTTCTTTGACCTTAAGCGTATATAAATGCCGTCCTTAATTTAATACTGTCGCAATATTGTCACCCCAAAAGCGCTTACCCTTTTTGTTTAATAGCCTATCCAAATTTCCATGAGCCACAATCTGCGATCGACCTCAATTAAGACCTAACTTATTATTATTATTAATTCTACTGAAACTAGACGGATAAACCTAGATGTTAAAACATTTGTTATAGGTCTGAACATTAACAACAACAATAACAAAATTACAATGTACGAACACGAAAAGTGTTAACGTTCGTAAAAAATCGCTTGTTTAAAAATAAGAGTGACGAACCGTCACGTCGAATTAGTCAATACGACCGATACTCGAACATGAGACAAAGGGCGCAATGAAGAAGGGAACTGAAACGGGGGCAGAGGGTCATTCGCGCGCGGGGGGAACAAAGTAAAGGACAAAAGGGGGTCCCGTGTTAAATTGAGCGCCTACGGCGATAATTACAGAGTGTGTAACCTTTTTCAGACATAACCGACGACAATGTTCGTCTTCCGCTCGTTACGAAAGAACGTACATTCCATCTGTGGGTACCTCATGTACACACCTAATATCTACCTAGTGTATTTGTTGTTGTTGTTCTTTTCAAAAAAACATCGTTAGACAAATTTTCTACGTGAAAATGTTCCGTCTCTTTACAGACAAGCGATGCTAGCAGCTCGGCATGGTAACGACAGTGATAAAATTTCCCATCCTCTACCTGCAAGAATGTCAGCTGACAGCAGTACCGTTTCAAAGACCGACGACTCGGAGCTGGACGTTGTCGGAACCTCCGACAGTCCCAGGCCCAGTTTGCATCCCCCTACGCCTATTACGACATCGGCAAATACAAGTAAGTCAGCCAGTACCTAGTAGGTACCTACACCTTCTGAATATGAAGAAGAAACAAAAATCGTCCGCTGTGTCCCAAAGTAAGTACCTTCATAGTATACGTTTGTTATTCCAGGCCACGACGAAGATGTAATAAGGCGCCGCCTTCACGACGATTCGGGTTCAGAATCGAGTTGTTCAGAATCGCCAGGCAGCACGGTGTTTCGGCCACGTCCGTCGTCTCCTAAGGAGGCGGCGGGTCCCTCGAATCCGTCTGGAGAATATCCCTCGCCAAATATAAGCGTCGGTCCACCTATCCATCCACCGCCTCATTTGCTACCGTACTTGTATCCACCGGGACTGTATCCGGGAGCCGGTGGTCCCCCTTTCGCACCCCCCTTAAGCCTATTTACCGGCTCCCCCGCCCCAGGCATGAATCCAAGTTTGCTCTTTAACGCCCAGCTGGCACTGGCAGCGCAGCACCCCGCACTTTTCTCCCATTACTCCAATTTGGCTCATCCCAGTCCGACGGGTCATCACCTGTCCCCCACGTCTACGTTACATAATCACCTGAAAGGTGGCCACAGATTTGCTCCGTATCCCATACCAAGCTCTACGTCGTCGGGAGTAAATTCGTCGCCCCTAGGGAGTGCATTCGAAACAGTTACCCCCAGCGGTCACACTAGGAGCTTAAGCAATTCCCCTTCGAGCAAAATACGTCAAGGATCGACTTCCCCGCCCATCAGACCCAGCACGACTTCTCCAAAGCCGGGAAGCACATCGTCGCCAAACGATCTTAAGAGTATAGAGAAGATGGTGAACGGACTTGAAGTAAAACAGACCGATGATAACGAGAAGTAGTAGTGAGAAAGACATATTGTTACAATGTATGTATGTATGTATGTATGTCCGTTATGATTTTAAGTGGGCGATATAGTGACAACGCTGCAGACCGTACGTTATTGCTATTCTCTACCGTTAAGGGATTGAATAATAATAAATTAGTAATTAGTCGATAAACCTTGTCTAGGGAATCGACTCGAACTTTTACTAAAAACGCGACTAACGATTCGAAAATTTTCCCAAACAAATATTATCTATTTATTGATGGAAACCCATCCAACACAATCGATTTCTTAGACACGGCCGACATTCCTTCAGATAAAGGATTTGAAAAAATAGTACAAAAACATTTAGATTCGTTTGTTTGGAGAGCAATATTACTATTATAGTAGCTAGCTATGTACTTTTCTAAGATTTTTATGTGGTGCTCAATTTGATAATTTCCATTTTATTATTACTATTATTATACTTACATATACCTAATACTTACTGTCGCAATATTACTTGTAATAATACGATTCGAAAATACGTAAAACCGGCGCCGCTACCCCTGAGCCCGTCGAGGGTTGGAGCAATAATTCGACCGATTTGTTTCAGTTTCGTTGTTTTCCGCTGCAGTGCTTTGTTGGTTCGTAGTTTAATTATCTGCAATGTTCCTTTTAAGTTTTTCTTTTAATTTATCGTCGTTGTAAATATGTACGTAGCCGAACCTGCGACTACTATTAATTATTTAGTTTGTATTGTACATATGTAGTACGCATTCGCACGAACGCGCGCGTCGTTTATAAGAAAGTCAACTGTGTAAAGTGTACATAGATACAAAATATAGCGTACCTACCGTAGGTAAATTTATACGTTTTCATTGAAAAGAAGAAAGAATAAGTCACAAAATCAAGACCAGCCAAAGAGAAATTTTAAATTTGGACGCATATCTACATGTGCACACGCGAAAACTGCAATAACGAATCGACTAAGTACTACAAAGAAAAAAATATATGATACATATACACCTACATATATTATATATATATAGAAAAATAAATTTAATAAACGTACCTACCTAAATAATTGAAAAGATTAAAGTATCAGAAACGGACTGTAAATAAAATTCTATATCTACTGAAAAAAGTAGTTGCGCGACTTAGTAATGAAAAGGAGGCTTTTATATGTTTTTCTTTTTCCCTTTTATTATTGAACATTCGCTCAGTAACCGTCACTGGTTTTCAAACAATGTATAAGTGCGTTTGTATATCTGCTTATCACTTTAAAAGGCTGGTGGTGACAGTGCCGCTGTTGTATTAAAAAAAACAACTAGATAGAAATGTGTCATGTGTACATGTAAAGAAATAATTTTAACAATAAAAAGAAAACTATATTTAAAGTAATTTTTTTGACTTTTCTTTTTTAAATCATCCAATAAGTACCTCTAGTCATAGCTAATACGTAGTAATCATCACACTTTCAGTTCCTTCGTTGCGATACGCTTTCGGCAGGTAAGTCAACAGATGTCATGGGTCAGTAAAGAAAAGTGACAACCTAACAAACAGGATGTCGTTCAATGCTTATCCATATTGCGCCTATAATACCCACAATATATACATATATGTACCTATTTTTTTTTGTTTAAAATAAAAATTGTACGGGAAATAATAGTTGTATGTTAAATTATTCAGAGAAGGACCTAAAGAATCTCCTTACTCGAGAAGGACACACCGATGAGGTAGGTAAAGGATGATTTCTTCCAATGGTAATAATTAAACAAAGCAAGGTTAGGCCCGTTCAGTACTATGTAAATTGTTCTTTGTTTCTAAAGTATAATGCGATAAATCTAAAGCGTTTTTCTTCTCATTATTAGATCCGCTGTGAACTACACGACATCCGTGCATATTATTTTAGATAAAGGTTCGAATTCGAGTTGACAATGAAGTCATTAACAATTTATTGTGTCTAATATGTTACTGTTTAAAGAACACAATAATTATCCTTCGAGTTACATAAATATGTGTGTATCCATCTATCAACCGATCTATATTTACGCGATTAGTTGCTATTACATGTACCTATGTTAAATACTGAATCTATATTAAATTAATTTTGTAGTCCAAAACTTTTACTAACTACAATTCTTTTTCTATCGTACCTTCTGCCTTTTACGCGATCAAACAAATGTAAAGTTACAATACTGCATCGTCGATCGACGCATGGCGGCGTCGCCGTCGATCGTAACCAAATTAAACGGCACCCGGCGTCTCTATAAAAATGACAGATGGCGCTTTAAACGCATCTGAGCGCGAAATTTGCGGCGTCTCGTGTTTTAAATCATTTCCGCTAACAACGTTCAGTTGACGTTCTTTTTTACTTCAACTTTATAGCTGTTAAATGGCGCGCAATTTAATCAAATGTGATTGTCCGATCTTCACTAAAACCCTTCGTGCCACCCCTGACAATCAGCAGCATAATACTTATGTGTGAACGCATAAATAACTTTAGTTCCTTATAAGAATGCAATACAGAAATTATATTATCGAGAAATGTATGAATTGCATACAGAAAGGACATGGCAATACAATTTCTTTGTTTATCACAGGGACCCATACAGGTTTTCACTTCCTTAGTCAGGAGGCACCCGGAGAGCTGCGGAGGGCAGGGTCGCTCAATTCCCTGAAAAGGACTCATCATGTAGGGTGTCCTTTTCCGCTACCCCAAATCAATATTAAATATTTTGTATCGTCACATCGTAATAATTTTAAAAGTAGGTGCCAGTGTAGTATAATATACGTTGAAACCAAGTAGAGCGGGTTCATGTTGAATGTTCTCGCATGTACCCTACAGATGAAGAGATGATCAATTTCGATTGGAAGCTTAATGATATCGACGGGAAATATTTTATGCGACGTCCGTTAGAGGAATAAATAATGAGACGATGGAAAGAAATAAGAAAAACAAAGCGCAAGAGAGAGAGAGAGAGAGGGAGAGATATAGGTACATAAGAGCAGATCCCCTTTGCAAACGCTCTTCTTGTTTGGTTTATGTTCGAAAGAAGTGGCAACTGGACGAGTTCTTTTTCTTCAGAAAGAAGAAGAAGAAGAAGAAGCAGAAGCAGATGAGAGGAACGCTTGCTTGCATAATCCACTTCGATATCTTGATTTCGTAGAAGGCAAATAAATAATGACCGACTTTTAGTAGTCGTCGATCCACCGACCTGCTGATTCTAGAACCCTAAGTACGCCGCCACGTCTTCGTATGCGTCTCTTTCAACATTTGCGATGTTGTCATACAGTCCGAAAATTTAAACAAATAGAAAGTTTCTCATTGGATGTAGTCAAGTAATAGACATGAAATGGAGTATGATCGATTTGGAGGGCCAAGGAATCGCGTTGTATGCGTTATTAATAATTCTGTTAACTGAACGATCTTGACTTTAATTCGTCAGTTATTCCGTAAAAAAAAAAAAAATAATCAATCGTATCCATCTATCGACAAAGCTTTCTAAGGAAATTAAAAGTGCCCCATTTTATTAATTATTCCTGATTGTCAGAAAGAAAATTACAAGCCGCCAGTTACTTTTAATTATTATCCAATTCGTTTCTGAAAAGACATTATTAAATGAGAAAAATGACAGTTGCACTGCAATGTTGCATAGCTCTGTAATTTTCAACTTCCTCTCGAATTTTAAATGCTAAAAGAAAACATCGAACGAACGTCGCGCGTCGCCGCCAAAATTCCTCGCTATCAACAATCAAAGAATCCGGTCACAACCACGATGATGGACAGTTGACAAACGTTCAGACATCTGACGATCTCCCGAGATTCGTGTCTGAATCAATCTGCGACTATTGACGATCGTCCGAAACAGTCGAGCATCGAAAGACGGAAAAAGAGGTAATAAATGCTTTTAGGGCAAACATTACAGACTCCACTGATGCAATTCCCGCGAGACCGAATGCACGAAAAAGACAAGTTTTTGCAACCAACTTGGACCGCTGCAAGCAACCACGATGACTTGGAGATAATATAAGACTGGGAGGACGTGTTAAAATTGCTATTATATACTTTGTTAGCGTACGTGGACGTCATATATTAAAGTCATTAGGTACTGCTACGCGAAATGACCTACTGTTCAATAAAAATTTTCTTTCTTAAAAATAAGAACGTCCCTATTTTAAAAATCTCAACTTCAGTCACGTACCTATAAGTGCTAAAAGAAACTTAACTATGTCACCGAAATTTGAAGCACGTTATAGGTAGTACATGCGTGTGTACTTGGATGGGTGGATTTGTTAGAGGCATTAGGTATATGCGATTCGAGAAGGGTTATTTTTTACCCAAGTATAAAGATTACTTACAGTTTTGATGAGCATGGTCTGCAATCGAATTGGTTGGTTCGATAGGCTTCTGACCGCAAACTGTAGGTATGTCAACGCATTGATACCTATACCTAATACTTATCTACACATAGGTACTACTTCTACCACTATTGTAATGTGATATTCTAAGCATACATGCGTAAGGCTACTCCTACTTAACCGTTTTATATTTGACAGCAAATGTTACAATAGTTATGCAATTCGTCCAGGTGACTTACATGCGAATGTGAAAAATGTGACTTTTTGATTACGATGCACCTCATCGTTTACTTTTTACCTAGCGGTGCTGAAATGGGCATTAAACCATCAGAAGGATGGTCGACAACCGGAGACCTATCCTATTTATCTCCCGTTCACGAACAAGTTAGTGGTCGAAGACGGACCTTTGCCGGCCAGCCTCAACAAGCAACGATACACAGTTCCGATTAGGAATTTTCACGAAACGGTTAATTGGAGCGCACGGCCTCGAACAGACGACTCGCTCTCGTTATCAAACGCTTTCGCTTATTAGTAGATTACAATAATTATATAAATGTATACCTACACGTGAAAGAAGACTCGCCGGTATACCTATAGTTGACCGCGCACGAGACGGACGGTGGACACCTATCTCTTTACGTATCTGTATCTCTTTTCAGGTACCCATGCGAGCGAATGCGGCTACACTAAAGGGCAGAAGCAACTTTTGCTCTTTCATATCTCATTCCGATGACACGTACCAAGATCAGCGTTTCGCTAGTATCTATAATTGCTAATGATTATTACCTGTCTTTCCCATAACCGAAACGAAACCACACTGATACCTATTATTACTAGACAACTAGGCAAATTTTCTTCATTTCTAGACACCATGAATTTCATTACAGAACACCCTGTAGATATAAACGTCTGCGTTTTGTTGGAATTCTTGGTGTCGAGAACGAGTTCGAGTGATGGTTTTCACACCCGGGAGCTTTGGTTATTTATACTCCACGTCACCTGCTGACGGGAAAAAGGAAGGAAAACGTATCAGTGTGTGTGTGTATGTGTACGGATGAACGGTAGCATAAATAACAATCTCACGATTGCCGGCTGCCATATATTAGCCACTTGCTTTACCAACAACGGGCAAGCATGGGCAACGGACAGAAAGAACATCAGCAGCACCACCAACTCTTCTTTCTAACGATCCGATTTTTAACTGATAAAAGATGCACTAGTGCACAGCAACGGCACAGGGATACCGCACGCACTCCGGCATTAGACACCTAATATACCTTAAACTAAACGTATTCAGGGGAAAAAGTTATGATACGATATTACGCATCAAGGAAAGAAAATACGGCATTTCCTTTCGGGTGTGAATTGCAAATTCCCTGTAGGAAATTCCGTACTTTCTTCCCGAGGCTCGTACACGATTTTTTTACCATACCTTTGCCTAGAAAGTACGATTTTTTTTGATTTCATGAACGAGAAGGTGCAACATAAGCTATCAGGTAAAAAATCGCATTTACTGTTTATTAAGAAAGTATTTTAACACCCGCCACGTGAAAATTACCACTCGAGCCGAAGGCGGGGATCGGAAATCAAGCGGAGGATGCAAAGGTTTTTGTTTTTAATAAGGACTAAATGCGAGGGAATGTTGCGCTTTCGTCCTTGTCGTATCGTACTTTCGCCATAGTGAAAAATCACACTTACAATTAGTTCATATGCTTTCGAATTGAAAAAACAGATCGAGATGAAACTTGAATTTCGAATAATTTTAAAAAGTAATTCGGAAAAGAAAAAGGCAAGGAGGTAAAATACGTGCACGAGTTAATACGAGACGCCACTGTCAAATGTTTTGCGGATATTCGCGAAATGTCTCTGGAAACCGGCAGCAAAAAGGTGTGAGACGTTAACAGCTGAGGTGTGGACATGTTTAGTTTTTGGGCAAAAGCGCCGACACTTTAACACAGCCCGCTTTTTAACTACGGAATTGTTTCGAGCTTTTCTCTTCTTTTTTTTTTTTTACTTTAACACAGACAGGCCATCT